GAAGAAGGCTTTTAGGAGCGAAATTACTGGGACCGTATCCAGAAAGCCAGGACAGGGAGCTGGCGCGGGGGCAGGCAGAAGGAGGGAGATGAAGGTGAGCCCCTCAGGATCTACCAAGAAAGACTATTGGAAACCCTATCGGAGCCTCTGCCACCAATGCACAATTTCCGTTAATTACCTCAATTGTGGCTGTTATCCCTTTAATGAGAAACACAACTTTACTTCTAAGCAGACAGCATGGCTGGCAGAAAGCTGAAACCTGAAAATCAGCAGATACAGGGTTGCACGCAGCCCTTTCTATGGAAATTAAGCCACATCCAAAAACAGAGAGGACTCCAAATCGCTTCAGACAGCAGCCAGCCATGCAGGGTCCTTACCAGGCACCGGATGGACGCTCTCTGGACTCGTCAAAAGAGGCCCAAGTCACAAGTGCTCATTTCAATAACATAAGAAAATAAACACAGGGCTTATTTATAGCACAGGAAAGGGACTGGGGCAAAAGAACCACTCATTTGGTAATCCACCCTGACGGGGCCAGACAGGATCCAGACCCCCAGGCTCTCTGGTAACAGGGTAGAGTAGGGAGAGGGGCCAGAAGAGGGCTGTGTACCAGCCTCACCAGGTACAATCTGGTGAAAGATCTGGTTAGGAGGGAGAGATCTGAGACCAGTTCTTTCTCCTAGTCCAGGTCTCCATTCTCTGTCTCCAGTCTCTGGCTGAGGAGACTGCCAGGGACATGGACTCTCTCCAGGCCTAAGAGGTAAGTCAAGGACAGGTGGCATGAGTGAGGAAATAAGCAAACCTCATATTCTCTGCCTTTGCATAGATGGGCTTAATGGGGTCCTGTGTAGTTGGGACTGAAATATTCATGCTTATAGGTCTGACCACAGATGGGCTCAGGCTACTTGCAGAGCTCAAGAACACCCCTAAGAACCAGAGGTCTCTGAGGACACTGCCTGCCTAACAGGGGGATCACAGAAGGCATGCTTGCTGCCTCCCATTGGTCAGAACTGACAGCTCTTCAGTCATGCTCTTGAGAAATCCACAGGGCCCCTGAGGTTATTTTCAACAGGAGCCAAAGCTTGAGTAGAAAGGTATAAAGAAGGGGCTGGGAAGGTGGCTCAGTGGTAGAGCGCTTGCCTTGCATGCATGAGGCCCTGGGTTCGATTCCTTAGCACCACATAAGCAAAAAGAAAAAACGCTGGAAGTGGCACTGTGGCTCAACTGGTGGAGTGCTAGCCTTGAGCTGAAGAGCTGAGGGACAGCGCCCAGGCCCAGAGTTCAGGCCCCACGACAGGACTCCCCCCTCCCCCCAAAAAAAAGGTATAAAGAAAAGCCCATGTGTACGCAGACTGAGGGGAAGGGCATGTGGTGGCAAGTCCTGGTGGGTGGCTCTGGTCTAAGCCAGCTGGGGGCTCTGGAGACAGCCCAGTGGAAGACATCATAAAACAGTTCCCTAGAAAGGCTCCATACTTGAGAAAACAAAATGCCACACCCTGATGCTGGTGACTCTGCTGTGCCTTGAAAGGGAAAGAGGCTTTAGAGGTCAGGATAGGGGGCCAGGCTCTCACCCTCTCCACGTTCCCATTGCTAACAGCAACAGTGAACATAAAGGTAAAGTCACAGCATGCTTGGCATTAGTAGCTCACACTTGTAATCCTAGTTACTCAGGAAGCTGAGATTGGACGACCCCAGTTCAAAGCCAGTGCAAGCGGGAAAAGTCTACCAAAGAAACCACCAAAAAGTCAATAGTGGAGCTGTGGCTCAAGTGGTAGAGTGCTATCCTGGAGCAAAAATTCTAGGGGAAAGAGCTCAATCTCTGAGTTCAAGCTCCAGTACTGGCATCAGTTTAAAAAAAAAAAAACTCACAGCATAATGCTGCCTGTATAGATGTCTTTGTTCTCCTAGGGAACCTTGAGCCACATGGTAAAAGATGGGGGTCCTAGGTGTCTGCTTAGTTGGGGTGGAGGTGGGCTGAGAAGGTTGTACCAGATTTCAGATGCTCTCACTGCTCCTACTTAACATGTGTGTGTGTGTGTGTGTGTGTGTGTGTGTGTGTGTGTGTGGCCTTGTAATGTAGCCTTGTAAGGTTAGAGTGGATCCTGCCTGATTTTGCTCCATCAGGAGCAGCTCAGGGAAGCTCTGAGTAGGCATGGTTGGTACAATGGGAGCCCCAAACACCCAATATCTGAGTAGCAAGCACTGGCCTCAGATCGGAGCCACAGGGCCCAGACAGAGCTGTAGGGTAGGTGACTGCCTCCAGGTCCTGCAGTGGAAAGCTCGAGTTACACCCGGTCTTCCTGGATGGGAGTCCCCCAACAATACAACCCCTGGCCTCCTGCCAGGGATGCCTCTCAACAAGTGGCTGCAAGGTCTCTGCCCTCCAGTGACACAGCTTCGTTGGGCGCAGCCTGTGGTGACTTCTCTTGCTATAGCTAAGATTGCCTGGGCCACAAGGAAAGGGGAAAACATTCAACCTCTGAAGACACCACTGTCATGAAGCATGAGAACCCCAATCCCAGGGCGGTGTTGACAGGGCCCCCAACAGGCTCTTCTGACTGCAAAGTGCTGGGAAGAACCCAGCACTCCCAAAGTTGGCTTCTGCTTCTTCAGCCTATTGTGCTTATACCCCCAAATCCTGTTTCAGCTGCCTCTGTCTCTGTGATATGGACTCTGCAGCCTCTTTGCTATTCGAGGTCTGTCTAATAGGCACCCCAGGAAGAAGCTGGAGCTGGGAAATCCTCAGCAAATCCCTCAGCCAGCATGGAGCTTGCCTCTTCCAGATACGCTCCTGTTCCCCCCACCCCAGTAGGGTCACCTTCCCCATAAATACAGCAGATGCAGATGAGGCTTTCCGTGCTCAGTTCTTAACTTGCTGAACAGAGAGGGGACATCAGAGCATCACTGAGCAGATTCTGAAAGAAAGCTATTTCCTTCGTTAATTTCCCCAGAAAGGGAGGATTGGACATAACCATGTGTGAGATATGGTAAAGTACGGACAATTATCTAATGTTAATCAGGAAAAGCAATGAAGTCTTTCTGAGCCTGGTATTCCAAGCAGGCCCGTGCCAGTTAAGGTCCCTGGGCAAAGGTAGTAAGTAGCTGTGGGATGCTGGGCCATGCCAGGGCCAGTTCAAGGCTGCCTTCTCTACAGGCCAGTAGGATGTAATTGCTTAAAAATGATTTCTTAATCTAGAACCAGCTGTTGTCTGCTGTAGGCCAGAACATGACATTTTAATTAGCATTGTTGTTCTGCTTCTGAAATCAAGCTGTGTGTGCCAAGGGCAGATGGTCCTGACCCAAGCTTATAGTTGGGGCTTTCTGGTTGGGGCTCAGTGGGTTGTCCTTTGCCCCCTGAGTCCCTGAACCCTGAATGCTTGTTGGGCTCCCATCCTGCCTTTCTACTGTGGCTGGACCACCTGTTCCCCAGAAGAACCTTTGAAGTCTGTCTCCAGCACCCAAGATGTATCTTATAATGCAAGTGTCTACAATGCAAGCTGCTTTATGCTATGTTGCAAGATCTCATCCTGATATTTCTGGAAATAGTGAAGTATGTTAAGTAGAGTTTAAATGTCCTTAAGGTTCAATGACTCCTCTGAGAGACAAAGCCTTATGTTCCCTGGGCTCCCAGCAGTCTCAGGCTAGAGTTGTTCCAAAGTCAAAGAATAGGAAAAGCAACAACATGATTTCCTTCAACTTTGGGAGGGAGAACTGGATTCGAAAACAGCTGCTAGGGCTGTACAGTCAGTGATGAGCAAAAGGATGTTCGAGTAACTCGAGGGCCAAGCTGAAGGCGAAAGCTGTACATGGGACACTGCAAGACCTCACTGCCCTCCCCGGCCACACCCCTCATCTTGGCAACAGGCCAGTGGCCTCCAAGGAAGTAAAGGAATTCACTTCCTGCCAGCTTCCCGAGTGACAATAAAAATCTCTTTCTCTGGTTTCTGCTATACCTTTTGCAGTACTATGAATATAAGACAGGGCCTTCTCAGTCTGCTGTTGACTCATATGTAGTCTTTAGGTCAAAAGCACTCACCAAGCACCTGTGCGTGCAGTGCTAATTCACTGAACCCCTGCTCTGATGTCTGCATGGGCCACATGAGAAGCTGGGTGTGATGCTATCTTCTACCGTTCCAGCAGCCATAGCCCACAGTTCCAATAACTCCTGAACATGAATCAAGACAAAACTCAGGATTTCCGCTTTCACCTCTGCTCCTTCTGGAACATAGTCCTCTGGCTTCCTGATGGGTGGGTACATGTGCAAAGGGACTTGCTAAGACCACAGCACAGACACCGGTCACTCTACAGAACAATGGGGGGGGTGTGAGTTACTTCCATTGGCATACAACTAGGGTCATAATTATATCCATATTCTAAGCAAATTGTTATGTATTTTGTGTTCTGGGGACATATGTTATGGCTAAAGCCCAAACTGTGGCTAATCTTAATATTAGAGCCAGATAAATCTGTTTCGAATCCATAACATTTAACATTTGCCAGAGTAGATTTGTTCATCAACTGGGCTTAAAGAGGTATAATTCACACATGGGCAGTATTACTAAATGCTGAAATTTAATGATTTAAATACACCGGCAACTGTTGCGAAGTGGTTGTTCTAGCAGCATTTAACATTAGCCAGAACCTCCCTGGCTAATGTTACATTTATACCAAAAGAATGAAGGAAATTTTGGCATCCCCTAGGGTGGGGGTGGGAGTCAAAAAGCCCTCAACGTTTACAACATGGTATGGGCTAAAGCCACTCAGCCACATGGCTATCAGTGGCCTTCTGTTTTCCCTGAGTGCACAGATGAACACGGACTGCACCCTGACAGGAAGGGCCTTTTTGGGGGTCTCTAGAGTGATCTGAATGTTTGTGACACGGGCCCTTCTTATGCTTGATATAAACAGTACTGATCAGTCTTCCTGGCCAAAAGGTAGGATGAAATACACAGAAAAAGCCTAGTTCCTCTGATGACAAAGAATCAGTGCTTACACCACAGTAGGAAAATGAGTAAAAAATAATTTTAATCATTTTAAAATAAAAGCCAAGAGGAGTGACTGAGGGAGAGGCAGGCTCTGCTCAGCAGCCGGCCGGGGTTCTTCCTTTGCATGTGCCCACTCGCTAGGCCCCAGGCCAGGGTCAAACCTATGAAGATGCCAGGCTTGGCTGATCCTCCAAAGACACTGTGAAGTGAAGTGACTGGAAGCACTATGGCCACAATTCCTAGGATCTGGGCAGGCTGACGGGCTTCTCCTCCCCAGGAGAAACTCAGTCAATGGACTGCAAGCGAAAGACACTGCCTTGGGTTCAAGGCATCCTTCTCTGGGCATCTTCAGAGTGCCCACTGAGGATGCAGTGTGGGCTGCTGGCTCACGGTGCTCATGTAGCTTTCTGGGCTTCTGTTCCTGGGAATGCAGCTAGGTGGACACATGCCTGCCACCGAGGTAGAGACCGGCTACCTTCTACTGTCCAACCCTCCTTCTTCATTAGCGGGGGTGGTGGAGGTCCAGTTCTCTTCCTCTGTCCAGCCATCACCCAGGCCCCCAGCCATGACATACTTCACAAGCTGCCAATGTTGGGGAAGCTCTTCAGTTTCTCAGGAAAGTCATCCTTGTACAGCACAGGGTCAGCTCTGTGCTCCACCACCTTGAGGGGCATCGTTCCAAAGACAGAAGCAAATTTGTTGATACACTCAGACCTGTGGGGTTGGTGGAGGAGGGCAGCACGGGAAGAAAAGGAAGACATTGAGAAGCTGCTCACCGTCAATGAGAGAAACACAAATACTCCCAGCCTGCTGCCAGGCTCTGGAAAAGCCAGTGACAAACGAGGTGACCTAGGGTCCCTGACTCACTCCATTTGGTGCAAGAAAGTGAAGCAGGGATGCTGTTGGGAGGCCTGGGGCCTCCAGGTCAGGGTGTCTGCCCCTCCCCCTCAAATTCCAGTCATTCTTCCAGGACTAGCAGGCCTCAAACCCAGGTGGATTAGCTTAACCCCATCTCTGCCAGCCAAAGACAAGGCAGAGGGTAGGAAGGAAAAGGCTACCTGCATTTGCGCCTGGCTTGCTGACCTTAGAAAGGCAGAAGGGAAGGTTTTACCCCTAGACCAAGATAACGGCAAAGGCAGGTAAGGGAGAGAGACCCTGGACTTCAAACAATGAACACCTTCTTCACAACATCTAGAGAAATGATGTCTGGAAATGTTCTGCTAGCTTGCACCGCTCTTCAGACAAAGTCCCAGCTCACACAAGTTGGCTTTCATAATTGGTGATTTCATGTTAGAATCAGCAGCAAGAGCCAAGAGCACTGAGCTCCTGGAGGAGGGGAGGCCAGTTCCCTTCACCCTACCAGGGGCCCCCCTCATTGTGAGGGGAATGGCTGAGGTCAATCAGGCCAACTGAGTGTGACAGCTGGGTAATGAGGACGCGTCAGCACCCGACCAGAGAGGAAAACAAGCCTGAGGAAACTGCGTTTGAAGTCAGTGGGCCCTGGAGGATAGATTTCAGAAAGGTCAGTGCTGGCTCGTTCTCCTGGCTCAGTCCTGGGCACCCAAGAGTGCAGCAAGACAGATGAATCAGACAGAACCATCCTCCACGCAGAATCCGGTGCCGAGACAGGCCTTGAGTGTCTGTGGTCCTGACACTACGGTAAGCCTGGCTTCAGACTATTCTAGTCAATACAATAGAGCTACTCTAGAGCTGTTGGCTTTAGGAAGGAATTAATAAAGAAGACTGTCATTATCAACTCCTTTCTTGTGATCAATGTTTCTGAAAACATTTATTGATATTTCATTTTGAGGCTTTAGCTAATAGCATCATCCATCGCTATGAATAAAACACCAGGTCTACTGTTTGCTCCAAGCTGGTTTTAAGCACATTTCATGTCCAGATAACCCACTGTCTCCTTGCAGTGACGCTGGGGGGTCGGGTCCCTCTCTCGGGCCCATTTTTTAGCAGGAAGACTAAGACACACAGTCACTTCACCTCACAGTGTCTTTGGAGGAACAGCCAACCCTGACATCTTCATGGGTTTGACCCAGGCCTGGGGCCTAAGGAACCTGCGCAAAGCTCCAAACAACCAGGCACTCTGACTCCTGAGGCTAAGGTATTAATAATGAGATGACATGATTTATCATGTATTAAGAATTCTAGGATCCAATGTGAGGGCCTTGCTGAACCTCTACTCTGTGCCAGGTAATTTGCATACACATCTCACTGATCCCTAAAGTATTCTTCCTCCATTTTCTTGAAGGAAAGTTGGGTTTATATCTATAGATTAAAAAAAAAAAAGGAGGTTCAGAGAGGTTGAGTAACTTGTCCATGGCTGCAGAGATAGTTTGAACCGAGGTTTGCACTGGCTGTAGGCACTGACCCTTCCTGACTGCAGTAACTGAGTTTCTCCTACTGGCAGGCAGCCAAGCCTATGAGGAGATTGAAGGGTTCTAGCATGGAGGTAGGGACTGGACACTGGATAACAGGGTTTTTTTCTTCTTTCTTTTTGTCTCATTTTCTTGTTTGTCTGTCTTTTGTGGGGAGCAAGGGGGGTACAGAAATGGAGGGACAAAAGGTGGACAACAGTTTTTCTCTCTTCAAATCACAGGGCAAAATCAGTGGCAGCCAAGGCAGACTCACCAAGAGTTTCCTTTTGCCAGCAGTTCTGTCTATAAACAGGAGGCATTCTTCTCCTTTCCAGTTGCTGTGCTACCCCCTCTGTGGACAGCAGAGCTGGGCTGTGCTCAGTGTAGAACCAGCAAATCTGTATGAAAGGGCCCCATGCTCTTGGCAGAGGACAGCAGCAACATAGTCTCATACAGAGTATAAATGACAATGTCTTCTCTGTAACCAGATCTACTGGTAGGGAACGGCCATAGCTAGCTGCCCTGGGACTTGGGCCAGCCTGGCTTGTGCAGGCTATTCCAGGTTCTGGCAAGTGTTCTTTCCCCCTGCATAGCCTGCTCTGGGGAAGGGGTGCTGGGACGAATCCCCTGGTAGAGGCCCTTCCCTTTTCTGGCAGCAATAATGACATTGTCTACTTTCTGTTAACACAGGCCATCTGGCTGGGGATCCAGTTAGGCTGGTTGCTGGTGGCCCACATGAGATGCTCTGCCAGGGGTCCAGGAACCCTGTCAGCAACTGCTCTCCTGCACTGCTTTTCCAGTCAAGGGCACAGATACACTAAGAGCTCATGTCTACATGTGATATGTTGACGTATCTGGGGAAGGAAGGACTATACGTTCTGTTTGCCAAGGCTCTCTAAAGAAATCAGAGGCCATTAGGACTTCATGCTGGGGAAACTGAGGCACAGGTGAACATTGCCAGGCCCAAACGGTGCTACAGGTTTTAATGATTTATTACATTGTTCATTCCTAGCACGTAGTGTATGGCTTGGAAAGATGCTCAGTAAATATTTGTTGACCCTATGTGTAGACATGCTCATTTGATAGATATTAATACCCCTGCTGTTTTAGCAGATGAAAAGATCGAAGGTAAGCAAGTTCCCTTAGATCAAACAGCAAATGAGTGAAAAACTAATAACTGGGTGACTAATTGGCCCAAATCAGAATACTATGTTTTCTTAAATTCAAATTGTCTGCCATAGTAACCTTGGTGAAGCTACATATCAAAATGAACAGCACAGATTCTTCTAGATCTTTAAGAGCCAGCAGACTGTAGGAATTGCTGGGTAAAAACTACTCTCCTGTGCAGCCAAGATTTCTGGCCCCAGAATTCCAAATACAGGACTTATTGCCAACTGAGCCACAAAACTTAATACAAGGTCATACACTGGCAAAAATGGCTAACTACTTTCCCTGTCTAGTGGGAATCATATATTCTGCATAGAGAACTATTACAAAATAAAGCAAGTGAACAAGTCTACAGGATAACGCCATCATTTGGGCTACCTGAGATAGCTTAAAACAATGCTTCATAACAAATGTACTCATTACCTTGCTCATGTAATTTAACCCCTCTGTATGGTATTTTCACAAAAAAAAACTTAAAAACTTGTCTTCTTCCATCTCAATTTAAATGTTACATTTAATAATCTGGTGCCTCAATCTTTAAGCCAAGTAATTTTGCTCAGATGTGCTAATTGAGGGCCTTCTGCTCCCTAGTAAATGCTTCCAAAGGGTCATTTACATTCACTCACTCCCTCATCACCAGCTCATAGTCACTCACGCTTTGGCGTCCTTACTCTTTGACATTATTTTTTAAGGTCTCCAATAACCACTTAGTTCCAAGACCTTTCCTCAGTCTGTATGTCTCTGTTCCTTTCTTGCTCCAAGCACTACACACCCTGTTTTTCTGCTGGCCTCATTTGTAGTTGCCTCTCTCTCTCCCAAACATAATAATTTCTCTTGAGTCTACCCTTGGTTTTTCTTTAGTCAACTGTTACCTCTGGGCAGATAACTGCCAAGCATTTATCTTTGTTTTAAACTTCCTTCCAACTGCCTGCTGTCTAAATCTATATACTAGGGCAAGACCACACAGTCACCCATCTTACTCTTCTCCAATTTCACCCATGATTAAAATCTCCTGTCCTCTTGTCCTATCCATTATACTGTTTAAGGTAGAAAAATTCACCAATGAGTCTCCTCTCCTCCCCTACCTGTATTATTTACACTGTGAAGGGTATCACCCTTTCTCTCAATTCAAAATCTAAGTTATCTCTGTTGACTCTTTGTCTACAAACTCCCTATACCTATCTAGGTGCAAACAAAGTTCTGACACATTTTCTTCATTTTCATATTTCCTTCTTCCTTTCCTCCCTCTCTCCCTCCCTCCTTCTCTCCCTCCCTTGCTCCTTTCTTTTCTTTGTGCCAGTACTGGGACTAGAACTCAGGGCCTATGAGATATCTTTTGGCTTTTTCATTCAGAGCTAGCACTCTAGCCTTGAACCACAGCTCCAACTTCTGGATTTTAATTAACTGATAAGAGTCTCATGGACTTTCTTGTCCTGGCTGGCTTCCAACCTTGATCCTCAATTCTCACCTCCTGAGTAGCTAAGATTATAGGAATGAGCCACTGGCACCTGGCCAGACACATTTTCTTTTGGGGGTAAAATCTTAATTAATTTGTAACTTGCTTTCCCACATTTAGCTTTGTTCAAGGCTTCTTAATGGCTTTCTCCTGTCACTTTAATTCACTCAATGCCCTATTTCAAAATAAATTTCAAAGCAATCCTTTGATCAAGGAAGTCCCTGTTCAAAAATCCTGGAGAACTCTCCAAAACTTGAAGGAGAAAGCCCTTTGCAGTCTGGTAATAACAACAGAATTCTATGCTTTGGCCAAGTTGAATTTCTTACTGTCTGTCAAATAAACCCCAAGCTTTCTGATTGGGCACTGCTGATCACATGGTTCTTCTGACTACAATCTCCTCATAGTGCTCAGAGTGTCACTGGTTGGGATATTCATAACTGTTGAAGACTTCCTTCAAGTGTTCACTCCTTTTACATAATTATTCCTAATAATCCGGCAAGCACTTTCCCCATTTCCCTCATTTGTTATATTCCACAGTGAGCATCCTTTAGAGCATTTACCATAAATATCTTGGGATTACATTATATATATATATAAATAAATATACATACATATATATATATATATATATATAAATGTGTTAACTGTGTGTATATTATTGCTGGTAGCAATTACAAACTGACATAATTAAACCCAATAACAACTAGGGTCTTTTCTAAAGAAGTCTCAACATCTCTCTTAGACACTCTGATTAGGATTCCATAATAGTTTCCTCAAGCTGACTGTTCTGTCTCTCCCTGCCTGATAATTTTTTTCTATAAGTGCTATGATCTCAGCAGTGTAAAGAAGCATTGTTATGTTTCAGCATAAACCTCAAGGTCACTGTAAGGTCAACTTTTCTCCCTTCACTTTCCTCCCACATTTCTACTCAGTCCAATAATGCTTAGCTTAACGCTATGAATTTCCCTGAGCACTGAATGAACAGACAGGTTTAAGCAACCGGTTCATACACTCCAGGGCGACTACAATTGGTGCCTCTTCCAAATGAGATGTGATAGTTAATGTGATGCCTGTAATTGTGCAATACTTGTGCTCACCAGTGACAATTTGTTCCAAAATCACAGTAATACATAACTTCATATCAACAGTTGACAAAAGTCATGTTATTTGGGAAAGACATATATATATATATATATGTATATACATATATATGTATGTATATACATATACATACATACATATACATATACATATATATATATATATCTATATATATATATCTATGAGATAAGATTAGTTAGAGTTAAAGGAATAACGCATTGCAGAAGAATCCAAGGGTGAGCAAAAAACTTTCTGTATAAAGAAATCCTCCAGGCTTGAAGTCTTTTTATTATGTCTTCCAGATTTCAGAAATGAGTTCTGCAAGCAGATGTACTTGAGATCTGTGGAAACCTGAGCTAGAGATGTCATTCTAAAAGGTTAGTCTAACATTCTTGGAGTGCACTTGGTCCCTAGACAATAGTCAGAGTGTGCTGAATCAAGAAAGGAGTTAAGAGGAATTAGTTTTGATTCAGAAACTTTGAAGCTTAGGGACTTTGTGGGTACAAGTAAACTTATTAGGTTTAGTACAAGATTTTAAGTCCTTATATACTATCCTACTGCCTAGAACTTCTTTCCATTCAGTACACTTGGTGAGTAACTGATGGAAATAAAGAGACTATTGAAGAGAACCTCCACTCCTAACATAAAGAGCTTGGTGTTTGATCCTGTTCTTGCAGGTGTTTTAGTAACATCACCAAAGATGTCTCTGGTGGGTTTGATTTAATTCTTTCTAAACAAGCTTTTACTGTAGCATGGGGCGATTACCCTGAGAAATAATCCAGTATTTCCTTGGATTAGCCAGCTTCCACTCAAATGAGTGTAGATAGTTAACTGCTAGGTCCACATGGGGAATCTGGTTTTTGGAGCTTAAGCCCAGCCATATTTTTAAGACCTTTCCAGCCATTACAAATTGAATGAGTAGCATTCCAAATTAATTCTTTGGGTGACCTAGGCTTGAACTAACCCAATTCCCACAGTGCAAAAGGAGGTGACTATGGCTACCAGCTGCTGTCCTTACATCTCCAACCAAGTCCCATAAACAGGCCTAAGGCAGGAAATGGGGATCAGAGGCTAGGGCAGACATGTGCTTAGAGGCTCACTCACCTCTCCACCATGTGTGTCTGGTCTAGGGAAAGCCCATCAATGGCTGTGCATTCAGGACACTTGAATTTCTTCCGTGGAGTCACCTGCCAGAGAAGCACAAAATGGTGTCGTGCTGTGTCATAAATGTGATCTGCATGTACGCACACACATGCGCGCGCATGCACACACACATGCGCGTGCGCACACGCCCACACACACCTCACCACTCCTCCATTCCATTCAGGCTGGCTCAGTCAACAGCAGAACTCACAAGGGCCCTATAAAAGAGGCTTGGAGGGCTTTTGCCTTCTGTAACTGGAAAGAAGTGGTGATGACAAGCTCCTTAATTCCTGTTTAATGACTGTTTTCTCACTGCCAAGGTCCTTGTATAAACACCATTTGTTCTTACAGCCATAAGGGCGATGAAATACAGCTTCCCATAACTTTCACCGTAACCTTAGTCCAATAGGCAATCTTTCTCCTCTCAGCTAACGGCAAATACTAGAGGAGCATTGGGCTCTTGAAGGTACTCAGTGATTTTTTCCTTTCCACAGGGAAAAAAAATCCAGTTGCCCCTAAACCTCTGAATCCTTTTCCCTGTGCCCCTCTACCTTCCCAAGCCTTAAACTTCTAGCAATCTTTCTGCCAAACCCAAGGGAGGCTACTGTCCAAACCTAATGAAGACAGATAAATGGAGATAGGATAAGAGGGAGAGAAAGCAAATAAAGGTATGGCTAAGATGCCGAAAACACTGTCAATAGTAAGCAACTACATCTAAGAATAAGTTGAAAAGCAAATCTGGTGATCCCTTAAAAACTGCCTTCCATTTTCCTTGTAGTCAGTAGTTCACTGAGTCACTCAGAGATCTGGGAGACAGGGAGGGAACTAGAGAAAGACAGTGACTTGCCCTCTTTCCCAGTCACATTGTTAGATTGTGAGGTGTCTGTCAGTGGGATGCCATCCCGGCTTCCAGAATGAGCTCCCCAAGGAATCTAATCTTTCCTAGCAGATCCCTATAGGACCCGGCATGACACACTTCTATATATGGGCTCTAATCCAGATGAAAAAGGTCAGGATGTGCTTCTTCTACATCTCCCGGGACCTGTATTTCAGCAGTTGGATCCAAAAGGGATCTTAAAATATATTCAGCTTTTAATATGTATAGGAAAGTTACCTTTAAAAAGCTAGTAATCAATTTGTTTTCAAATAAGGTTAAGTACAACTATAGCAATGTAGTTGTTCAAGTATCTGTGTTCAAGTTTAATACTGCTTTTACACTGATAAGAACCTCAGGATCAGAGAATGGAGCTACAGCAAAGAAGGCAAAGCAGTGAGTGGCAGAGCCTCTTACCTTGATGACAGCTTTGCCTGTGACATTAGCCACTAGGAAATTCATGGCGATGTCCTCACAGTTCATATGAGCATCTACCCAGTTCTTGATATCCCCGGGCATTTTGTAAGTATATAGGTAATTAAAATACTGTTAAGTGAGACAAAAATTTTAAAATTCAACTTTGTTTTCACTGATACACAGAGGCCTAGTTTTGGCCTAAGGACATTAATCACAAGGCTACAGAAGTAGAAAAAAGGAAATACTGAGTTAAAATGAGTTATAAAAGTATGTCCTTTTTTAGCTGGGTGTGGTGGTTCATATCTGCAGCCCCAGCATTTGGGAGGCTGAGGGCAGGAGGATCATGGGCTCTAAGCCAGCCTGGGCTATACAGTGACCCCCCAAAAAAGCCTCAAAGCAATACATAAATGCATACAAACAAATATAAATAAGGGTACAAAGTCTACTGCCATAAGTTTCAAGAATTACAATTATGGAAATTTTGTTTTACTAAGACCGAATTACATGTCTAGATCTTCGGTCATGACAAACATGAGAACAGCAGTAGCAAGCTAGTGGCAAGAAACAGATATAAAATAGCTAAGGTAAATTAACCAGTATGTCCTCTTGGTACCAGTCAATTGCAAAGCCACTGCTGATGACAGACAAGTTATTCCAGATCAATTAAACCATATGCTCCCCGGAAGAACTGAACTTTCTAAAATCAAAAGCACATTCTCCAATCTTACCTTAATAGAGTCAAACTTGACATAACAGTTCTCAGAAGTACAAAAGGAACTGTCATAAACTAACAAACATACAAAAGAACTGTCACCTTACCAGTAATCAAAGTGAAAATAAGATTCATTTTTACTTATCAAAACAGTTAAGTTTAATTTTTAAACATATGTTGTACATAGTTTCATCATGTAATTTGTGACTAGCAATATAAAAATTACAGACATGTATCTAAAAAGCCCAAACACTCATTTACTTTTATATAATTCTACTTCTAGAAATCTATCATAATGATTACAACAATGGATATTAATCCCTATGTAGGCATTAAATACTAACCATTGTTTAAAGTAGCAAAAAATAGAAACTTCAAAATATTTAATGACAGAGTGATAGTTACACATGATAGAGCATGAACAAAGTGACATGTTACCAATCATGCTAAGAAGTAACTATGAAAAAAGTTAATGACATGAGAAAGGCTCATAATATATGGAAAAGGCAGACTAATGAGACTATATGCCTGTGGATGCATGAAGAGGTAAGTAAACAAAAGGCAATATGAAAAAATACTAGAAATAATAATAGCTACCTCTAAGTTTAGACTTATAAGTAACGTTTCCTCATTTTCTTGTTGTCAATGTTTGCATTTTCATATTTAAAAGAGCTATCACACAGTATAACATTTCTAAGCCCATTGAGTAGAAATTTTTCTTAAATCTGGCAACAGGAGTGAAAGATTATAGTGGGCCAGATCAAATGTATACCAGGTCCTCAGTGCAGCCACCCTTAGTCCCTTATTCCAGCCCGTATCCTTTACCTTGTGATAGAAGGCTGCCCCTGTGAGCACCATGGACACCTCGTTGGTCCATTCAGACTCATACTTCCACTTATTCATCTCATGGTCCCATAGATGCAGACGACCTGGGTAGCCCACCAGTCGGTCAGGAAATTCCCTCCAGACCTAGGGAGAGAAGCATATCAGCAATCCATACCCAGTTCAGATGACAATCACTAGGTATTAAAGGCATCCAGACAGATATCAGCAGGCCCTTAAGAAAGTCAGAATGGAATTCTTAAGGCAGTCACTCCAATGGGTGACAGTTATTCAAAGTCAGCTATGGATTCTGATTTCCTCCAAAATATCCTGTGTATGCTTGAATATTTCAAATAGTAGAGTAACAGCTTACCAAATTAGGCTAACATACAATCACTGAAATAGGCTCCATTCTTGATGAATGCACACATGAAAGGCAAAGGCAACCCTGCAACTCAACCACCCTGATTCATTATAATTAATTCTGTATTTGGAGAGGCTCTTGGAGACAGTTTGTTGGATGATACAATGTGTTATATTGAGGGAGAGCTCATGTGTTTCTTTTCTTTACTTTTTTTTTTTTTTTTTTGTCTGTTGTGGGGCTTGAACTCTGGGCCTGGGCCCTGTCCCTCAGCTCTTCTGCTCAAGGATAGTGCTCTACCACTTGAGCCATAGCGCCATAGTGGTTAACTGGAGATAAGAGTCTCATGGACTTTCCTGCCTGGGCTGGCTTTGAACTGCCATCCTCAGACCTCACCCTCCTGAGTAGCTTGGATTACAGGTATGAGCCACCGGCGCCCAGCTTCTCATGTTTCTGTATAACTTAAGAAAGAGGTCCATACACAAATGACCAGTGACAATTTGCTGGCTGTTCCTCTTCTCAATCTCTAGCTGGCTCCTCAATCTTTAGTTCATTGCCACATAACGAATTCCCAAAGGTCCAATCCCAGGCCTGATTCCCTTTTCCAAACTCTCTTGTTTTAAGGAATCTTAGCTACTTTTAGTCTCTAAACTCCATCTCCAATTTAGTGACCAATAACTTTATGTTTAGCCTTGGATGCTCCAACAATAGGCATTGGATAATCAATTTACCATGTTTAAATCAGGACTCAATTCCACATCCCCAGTCTCTCCTTTTCCTCATCTCAATAAATAGCTGGCCAACTATTTAAACCATGACCCTTGAAATTAGCCTTTATTCCACACCTTACTCCCAATCCATTAGCAAGTTCTGCTGCTTCAACTTCTCGCTACTCCTACCAGCTCCACTGCCACTGCCCCAGCTCTAAGCCTTCCACCTCTCACCAAGATCCCCATGACAAGCATGTCTCTTCACTGCCACTCCTGCTCTTCTAAACCACAATACACACAGCATCTCTGAGACGACCATCTGGCCAGTAAACCTAGCCTACTGTTTTATATTCTAACAATTTTCACTATAAATGCATATGCATATGGAAGTCATAAGGTGGTCATATGCCAGAGCAACCAGTGGCTTCCCCAGCACACAGTGGTGCTGAACCCAATGAGGAACCTTCTGCTGACATTCCCCAGGGTACAGCCAGTGTGCGTACCTATACTTCCCCTCACCTTTTCATTTCCTACACTGCCATAACAAAGAACTACAAACTGGGGGCCGGGGTGGGGGTGCTGAGAACAAGTTTTGGAGACCAGAAGGCAGAATCAAGTGTATCAGGGCTGTACTCCTGCTGACGCCTGCTGGGGAAGCTCTTTCCTTCCTGTCTCTGGTTTACAGATGCATCCCTCCACCCTCCATCTTCACATGGCCACCTTCCCTCAGCCAAGTCTCTCCCTGTGTCCAAATTTCCTGCTTTATAATGATATTGGTCATAACAGATTAAGGCCCATTCTGTCAGTTACAGTTTCCAAATAAAATCACATTCTGAGGCACTGAGGGTCAAGCCTCGAACAAATCCTCATGAGAAGACACAATTCAACTGTAATATCCCCCTAAAAGAAATCTTTTAAGGAATGTCTCATCCTCACAACAAAATAAAAATGGCTTTGTATTACACTAAGAATAAATACCCAAACTCCTTGTTTTGTAAAGGGCCTACCATCACCTCTGCTCTTAACATGCTCTCTCACATGCCAGTCACCTTTCTAGCTAAACCCCTATCCCTTTGCATCTGCTATTTTTTCTGCCTGGAATATCCTCACAGCTCTTTAAGAGGCTGCTCCTTTCCATCAGCCAGCTCCACGTTTAAATGTCAATTCCTTCAAAGGCTCTCTTGGAACTTCATATTTAAGGCAAATACTACCCACAACCAATCTCTCTATCACATCCCTCAACCTCTTGCTTTTATTTACAAACAGTTCATTTTTTAAAATAACTGCTTCATTTATGTATTCTTTACCCATTTTTCTTTTTTTTAGGTTCAAGACCAGAACTTGTAATCAGTACTTCATGCTTTCATTCATTGGCTAGACTCTACCTACACTCCTCAACTCAGAAAGGACACCTAAGCAGTTACCACTCTCAGCAAGATGTGAAGAGCCCAGGCATCTTTACTGAAACATGCAGGGACACATGTTGTCATTATACTGTTTCTGCTGGGTCCTCCTTCATCATCTCTGTGATTTTATGGGCTGTCTGATCTGGATCTTGTCTGATGCTATGTGAAAAGCTCCCCTTTGTGTAAAACCAGCTCACCTGCCAGGGCTCTCAGGCCCACTGCCATGGCCTCATTAACACTTAGGTTGTAACCAGCAGAGCTAATCAGCCACAGGCATCACCCTAATAGCTGTAGACAAATGAATCCATGTCAAACATTTCCTCAGATGCATATGCTGCTGCTGCTGCTATGTTCTCTCTACTCTAGAGTTTGTGTTTCAATAGATTAAAGTTATACGATACTATTATAGTTTTATAGGGCTCAGTGTAGCAACATAGTTATGTGCACCATAATTTCTGTTTGTGGGCCTGGGCAGGCTCTGCCAAGTGCTCTGCCAATTCCTTAACTCAGTATTGGCACTGCTTGTTCAAGTCACAGCAGCCTTGTACCCACTGCCTTACCAGAAGAGTAAAGGAACTTTGTGAAGGGCCCCAAGCATACACAACTAAATACTAGGGAGGACAAGGCCGAGGAAAGGTATATGTGGGCATCTGAATCAGTGGGTATTTCTGCTAACGATGGCAGCTGCCAGCTCTATGCAAAGGAAGTTCAGGTCACTTTCTTAAGGGGATTCTTTGTTACAAGCCCTTTCCACCTTGGTCGCAGCTACCCACCCCCACCACCATCATCATACTAGTTTTGTATTGGCTTAGATTTAGGGCCAAACGATGCTAAGATTTCAATAAGTAGAAGTCATTTTTCAGCCTTCTATCTAGAGGGCTTCATTTGGTGACATTAAGTCACAGAATGCCAAACTACACTGCACTAAAAGGTATTAGAAGTGTCCTGAATTTCAGATTCCTTTGGAGCTTTTTGTGAGCATGGCTCTCATGCGGGGCCTCTCTGCCCTTGACTTATTCCAGGCAGCTGGATATAATCAAGATACCATCCTTGTCACTTCATCTATAACTCTGCAGGATCAAAACAGAGTGAGACAGAACGGGATGGCCCTCTCTAATCAGGCCCTAGTGTAGACCCAAGTCTATTATGTAGACAGTAAAGCATTTTCCCAGCCAGAAAAGCAAGAATTCAGACTCCACAATCTTCCTCATGGCTGCCCACACCACTCTAATTCCATTCCTTTCACCTTTACAAAGGGTGCTGGGTTCAGGCTCTTGCTATTACTCAACCATGTTTTAGTATACTGCTGTTTGACATTACAAGTTTCACGTCATGTTCCTGTAGTTCTAGTAACAGAGCTTCATTTCACTTGAAATCACAGTGCCATCATTAACTTGCTTGCACTGAAGTCCTTCAGATACAGAGTCTCTCCCCCTCTTACCTCCCCATCTATTTATCATTTACTTTCATTGTCTTTTTTTTGAGACAGACTCTCCCACAGTGTAGTTGACTTAGATTCACTATCCTCTATCCTCGTCCTCCTGCCTCAGCTTCTCAAGTGACCCACCACATGCACCAACTTATCTTTTTTTTTTTAAGCTTACAATAATTATACAAAGTTCTCATTTGTTTTTAACCACACATATCTTGGAGGACAGAACCTGTCTCTGTTAGGATAGCTGCTGCTTTGCTTAGGGATGCAGTAATAATTTGGATTGCTTACTTTGGGACTATTCCACACTATTTAAATGCAGATTATAACAATGGACTACCAGCTTGTGGCTATTCTTTCCATTCTAATGTTTACAATCTTGGTCCCCAAATATCTCTTCTCTGGACTCCTAGCTATGATATCTTGGTTATTTTCCAAATTCTTTAAAACAAACAATAAAACAAATATCACCCCCAAATCAGAAACCTGAGGTCTTTCCTTTAGAAAGGAAAGCCATGAATTCTTCTACCTTTGCCCAAGCAGCCTAGACCGAATTATATCTTATAGAAAGTGCAGGGGTTTGGGGGTAATGCATATGCAAAAAGAGCTCTGCCAGGATGTGCCCTGCAACTGGCCTATGCAAGGTGACCAGTTTTCATTTCACTACTTTCAAAATGAGGGATGGGTTGAATGATCACTAATGTTCCTTTATGTTCCTCTTCATGGACCTGTTTCCAAGGACAACTTGATCTGTTTCAAGTTGTAGGTTTCTCAATAGTCTAGCCTATATGATTAAACTGTGTTAAAACCCATATATATATGGGTACTCAATACATGTTCCTGTAAAGAAGATAATGAGCTGCATTGTGAGCCAGGCTGGGGTGTGCATTTTAAGCGCAGGGTAAATGCTAACCACAGCCAGCCTCAGGAAGCAGACCGGGGAGAGGGAAGGTAGAGGCACAGGTGGCGTCCATCTGGGCTATGCAATCAGGAAACCACCAGGAAGGTGGCTATTCTATGAAGTGGCTGCAGTAGTCTGTCACCCTTTCAAAGTCATAGTCTTACAGGGTGACTGCCACTGGGTGCAAGAACTGGAACCAGTATCAGGATTTCTGAGTCAAGAGATGGCAGAAAGAATGGTAAGAGAACCAGGAGTGTGTGAATATAGTTCCAAAGGTAGGCATGAGTTTTGTTTCTTTCCTTGAACATAGTTCCCAAGTTTTGTTAATCCCTGTCAA